CACACACCTCCGTCAGTGGAGCGCCGCAGGGCGATGAATTTGGCCCCCGAGTCCGACGGGGAGGATTTCCGGGCTTCAGCGAAGGCCAGGAGGGAGCCGCGGGGCGTCGCAGCGATGAGGGGAACCCTGTACGTATCCACCTCCCCGATCTCCCTCCCGCTCACCCACAGCAGCTGCTCCAGCGTGATCAGGGGAGTGACCTGCCCAGAGACACCAGGGGCCAAAGGGTTAAGGGCTCCCCGGGCAGTCAGGGCTCCCCATGGCCCCAGGGCGGCGCTAGGGGCTGCGCTGCAGGGAGTGGGGCAGGGGGCAGCAGGGGGCTCTCCCCGGGCCGTCAGGGCTCCCCATTGCCCCAGGGCGGTGCTAGGGGCTGCGCTGCAGGGAGCGGGGCGGGGGCAGCAGGGGGCTCTGCCCGGGCAGTCAGGGCTCCCCATTGCCCCAGGGCGGCGCTAGGGGCTGTGCTGCAGGGAGTGGGGTGGGGGGCAGCAGGGGGCTCTCCCCGGGCAGTCAGGGCTCCCCATGGCCCCAGGGCAGTGCTAGGGGCTGGGCTGCAGGGAGCGGGGTTGGGGGCAGCAGGGGGCTGTCCCCGGGCAGTCAGGGGTGCCCCAGTGAGGTACTGGGGGGCTGTGCTGTGGGGGCAGCAGGGGCCTAGGCCCTGGGGTGACCGCGGGGGCTCTCCCTGGCAGTCAGCGCTGCCCCACGGCAGAACCGAGGCCCCCGTTACAGGGAATGGGGAAGTCTCTGTTTCCTGCCCCCAAACATGGGGCAGGAGTAGGGCACCGGGAAGTGGTGCCGGGGAGTGGCACCTGGGCGGGGCTGAGGGGGGGCTGGATGGCCCTGGGGGGGGCTGGACGGCCCTGGGACGAGGATCTTGTGGCACCGTAGAGACTCGGGGTTGATTTGGGCGCCAGCGTCCGTGTGTTAGTGTCTGAGGAGCCACCGGCCTCCAGGCTGTTTTCGCTGATACAGACGAACCTCGCCCCCCCTCCCCCGCGAGACCTGAGGGGGTGACCAGATGTCTGATTTCTGGGGCTTTTTCTTATCTAGGCTCCTATTACCCCCCCCCCCCCCCCCCCCCCGGTTTTCCCCCCCTCCCCCCCCGCGGGTCCCCCGGTGGGGGGGGGGGGGGGGGGGGGCGGCACCGGGGGGCGGTGCCGGGCGGGGGGGGCGGGGGGGCAGGTAGCTGGGAAGGGAAGAACCCTGGTGGGTGGCAGGGGCTGGACCTGGGTGGAGGGTACCAAGGTCCCGGGGGGGCCCTACCCAGATGGAGGGGGGCAGAGGAGGATCGCAGGGGCCGTACCTGGGTTGGGGGGGTCAAAGGGAGGAGCGGGGGGAACACACGGGGCTGTATGGGGCAGGCATAGGGGCCGGGCAGAACGGGGGTGCAGGGCCCGATCCCGGGGGGGGGGGGGGAGCGGGGGGGGGGGGGGGGGGGGGGCCGCATGTACCTGCTCCGGGGATCCCGTCCAGGCCCCGGCAGGGGGCAGCACCCGGGCCCCGCAGAGCCCCAGCAGCAGCAGCAGCCCCGCGAGGGGCAGGGCCCGGGGGCGCCCCATGGCCTGTGGGTCGCGGCCCCTTTAACCCGCCGCCGCCCGGCTGCGCCGCTGGTTACAGTGTAGCGCCGGGGGTCACATGACTCAAACCCGAGCCACGTGATTGGCTGAGGGAACCACCCTGGATACAGACTCACGTGCCTCACCACGCGTCATATGACTGAGCTCCTGGCCCCGCCCATCTCCCCTCCCTTAAAGGGACAGCGCCCTCCACAAGTGCCCGGCTCTGGGAGGGGAGTGGGGGCTGGTGGTCAGAGCAGGGGGCTGGGAGCCAGGACTCCTGGGTTCGCTCCCTGGCTCTGGGAGGGGAGTGGGGTGTAGTGGTTAGAGCGGGGGGGCTGGCAGCCAGGACTCCTGGGTTCTCTCCCCGGCTCTGGGAGGGGAGTGGGGGCTGGTGGTTAGAGCAGGGGGGGCTGGGAGCCAGGACTCCTGGGTTCTCTCCCAGCTGTGGGTGGGACAGGGGCAGATGTTCTACTAACTGGAGCAGAGGGTGGATTTCACTGGCCCCAGCCCAGCTGACTCAGGGCCCTGGAGCTAAAACAGCAGGTAGAAAAACAACCCGGAGACGCCCATGGGGTGACAGGGAACGTGGGCAGTGTGGTGTAGTAGTTAGACCAGATAGTCAGGACTCCTGGGTTCTCTCCCGGCTCTGGGAGGGGAGTGGGGGCTGTTGGGTTAGAGCAGGGTGGGGCTGGGAGCCAGGACTCCTGGGTTCTCTCCCTGGCTCTGGGAGGGGAGCAGGGTCTAGTGGTCAGAGCAGGGGAGCTGGGAGCCAGGACTCCTGGGTTCTCTCCCCAGCGCTGGGAGGGGAGTGGGTTGATTCCATACAGGGGTCTCTGCTGCTGCAATTCCCTACCCCAAGACTAGGGGGCACCGTACCCCACACCTGGCCCTGGCTTCCCCCCTTCACAAACCATTGATTTCTGACCCCTGAGGCCTGCCCCTCGTCCCCACACAGCACAGGACAGGCAGGGATGCGCCACGGAAGCAAGGACCCCAGGAGGCCGCGGGGAGCAGAGAAACCCCCATTTATTGCCCTCCACGGCCCTGCCGCTGAGCCACAGCTCAAATCTCGCCATTTCTCCCCCAAGTCCCATGGGGCCAGGCCCCGATCCTTCACCCCTTCCCATGCACACATTGATCCACAAAATAAATTAAACCGCCTAGACTCCCAGTCACTCCGCAGGGGCCCAGAGGGGCTGAGCCCCGCTGCATGATGGGAAACGCAAGTCCCCACGGCGGTGAGCCCCCTCCGCCCCCCAGCATCAGTCAGTGCTTGGCACAGATCTCCCGGAGCTCCTCAGGTCGCGGGGTCAGGACTCGGCCAATCGCAGCAGGGTCCCGGAAGTGCTGGGGATGCTGGGAAAACCAGAGAGAGGCTGTTAGCTTAGCTCAGTCGCTGGGACGATGGGGCAGGACTCCTGGGTTCCCTCCCTGGCTCTGGGAGGGGAGCGGGGTCTGGTGGGTTAGAAAAGGGGGGGCTGGGAGCCAGGACTCCTGGGTTCTCTCCCCGGCTCGGGTGTGTGTGTGTGTAACGTACCAGTCGACCAGCTGTGCCCCGATGAGGTCATGGATGTGGTAGGGGAGCCCCAGTTTCACGGCGCTGGGAGCCCGGCGGCTCTGCAGATCCGACAGCAAAATCTCTTTGTACTTGGCCTTCTGGATCATCCCCAGCACGGCCTTGCGCCCTGGGCCGGGATAGAGCAGACTCAGTCGGCCTTTTCCCTCTGAGGGGCGCTGGCTCTGACCCGGCTCCAGGGCAGGGGCTGGCTGGGGGGGGGGGGGGGAGGGGCGTGTCCCACACAAACCTTTGATGAAGCATTTAATGAAGCGCCCGGCTCCCGGCATGGCTAGCCACCAGCTGCCAGCATCACGGACGGTCAGGACCCCGGCATTTACCAGCTGCCTGGGACAGGGGACAGGAGAAGAGACCCCGTCACCTCACTGTCCTGCGCTCCAGAGACCCCTCGCCCGGCGCCGGAATGCAGCCCCTCTGGGGCGGGGCAAGGGGCTGGTTACCCAGGGACCCCTCGCCCGGCGGTGGGCTCTGCTCCCCTGGGATGGGATGCGGGGACGGTTATGCAGGAACCCCTCCCCCGGCACAGAGATGCGGCCCCTCTGGGGTGGGGAACAGCCGCATAGAACACCAAGGGGCACAGGGGTGAGGAGGAGAAGGGGAACGTGGCTGCCACGGGGCCCAGGAAGGCTGCGTGGCCCCTGCCCGCCCCCGCGCTCCCAGCCACCCACGTGATGTCCGGGTCCCGGAAGCCGAAGTCCCTCAGCATGCGGCCATTGTCGTAGCTGAGTTCAGGACAGGAGGCGAACGCCGTCTCCAGGAACCTGCGCACCGTCCCGGCGTGCTCCTTCCCCGCCACAGACTGCAGCACCTGGGCAGAGACAGGGGGGCCTGTCATCACCAGCCAGCCCCCCCAAGGGCTGCGGGGACCCCCCTCCCACTGCCGGGGGGTCAGAGACCCACCTTGGCCGTGTAGTCCTGGGTGAACGCCACCCCGAAGACGTCTGAGTCGAATCCAAGCTGGAAGGGCCGGATCAGCCCCTCGTCCTTCAGCCGGCTCTGCGGGGGGAGAAGGTTAATGGGGGGGGGGGGTTGCACCCCATAACGCTTTATAGAAATAGCTTACGAGTGTCAATATGACAGAACTGGAATCTGTTTTCTGCTAGATCTGCCATGTAACATCTCTGTGCAAAGGTTACGTTCTTCTGCATGTGCTCATCCCATTTGGATGAATGTATCACTTGTGTATCTGTAACTAGAAATAGGAAATATAACTCTGACGTCCCATTGTAATTATGCAAAGTGGGGGCCGTTAATGGTGGCTTGGAATCTTGATGGCTCCCATCAACCAGGACAATTGACTGAGGATGGCTCTGTTTATTTGCAAGCCTTCCCGTGAGTCAGACCTGGAAGAATGGAGGCTGGGGGTCTCACAGGACATGGGACCATGTCACCTGGTACTGGAATCCATCTTAAACCTGGGGCTTTGCCATGTAGAGGGGGCGGGGACCCAAAAAGACAAAAGATTCCCACCTTGTGCCAAAGCTATAAAAGGGGGTGGAACAAAACAAAGGGGACTGCAGTCATGAGAAATCCCCTAGCTACCACCTGAGCTGGAACAAGGGCTGTCCCCGGGGAAGGGACGGGCCCAGGCTAGGGAGGAGTCTAGTCTGTGAAACAAGCTTCTTGGAACCTCTCTGCGGGGGAGATTTACCTGCATGTAGTTTCGTACTATATTGGGCTCAGACTTGCGTGTTTTGTTTTATTTTGCTTGGTAATTTACTTTGTTCTGTCTGTTACTACTTGGAACCACTTAAATCCGACTGTCTGTAGTTAATAAAATCACTTTTTACTTATTAACTCAGAGTAAGTATTAATTCGTGGGGGAGAAAACAGCTGTGCATATCTCTCTATCAGTGTTATAGAGGGCAGACAATTGATGCATTTACCCTGTATACACTTTATACAGAGTAAAACGGATTGATTTGGGGTTTGGAGCCCATTGGGAACTGGGTGCTGGAGACAGGAGCACCTCTGAAGCTGTTTTCAGTTAAGGCTGCAGGTTTGGGGGCGTGGCCCAGACCTGGGTCGGGGTTGCAGCAGGCTGGCGTGTCTGGCTCAACAAGGCAGGGTACTAAAGTCCCAAGCTGGCAGGGAAACGGGCTCAGAGGTAGTCCCAGAACATCAGGTGGCAATCCCAATTGGGTTTCTGTGACCCAACCAGTCACAGGGGGGCAGCTTGGGGAAGGAGATCCCAGGCTGGAGGGGCCCCTGGGTCTGACGGGGGAGGGGAGGGGAGGGGGGCTCTTACCAGCTGCCTGTCCACGGCCGTGCGATCCCTCACCAGGCTGTAGAGCTGGTGCTTCAGGACGATGGGGGGCAGCGCATCCTCGAACAGCTGGCGAGGGAAGAGGGAAGCGAGATACCGGAGAGCCGAATCCACTGCCCCGGGGCCCTCTGCCAACCAACAGCACAGGGTCAGCCGGGAGAGAACCCAGGCGTCCTGGGGCCCAGCTCCCCCCTGCTCTAACCCACCAGCCCCCACTCCCCTTCCAGAGCCGGGAGAGAACCCAGGAGTCCTGGTGCCTCGCCCCCACCGCAGTTACCCTGTCTGTCCGGTTCTCCTGCGTCCCCAGGGTCGGGTCCCGGCTGCAGCCGCCGCTTCTTGGCCTTCAGGGTGTTGGAGATCAGCTGGCGGCGGCGCTCCATGGGGCTGGGGACGGGACCGGACGGTTAGCACAGAGGGAGCCCCCGGCCGGGGTCCATCCCGGTCATCCACCTCCCCCCTCAGCTGGTCCTCTGCCTACCAGCCAGATCCCCCTTGCCCTCTCCTCCCCAACCAGATCCCCTCCCCTCCCCTTCTCCCCCCTCAGCCAGATCCCCCTCCCCCTCTCCTCCCCCCTCAGCCAGGTCCCCCTCCCCCTCTCCC